GGCGGCCGCGGGATGCGTGTGCTGCAGAGAGCAGAAGGGGAGAAAACCGGTCATGGGCAGCGTCAAGTGTTTGGGGTCGGTGTGTTTGGTTGTTGTTTTTTTTTTGGTCTGTGTGTGGGTTTTTATATTTTTTTTTTTGAATATTCATAAAAACTGAAGTTTTGAGTCATGTCACTTGAACCAATCTGCTTCGTCAGTGCTTTGCCTGATGAGTATTTCAATTATTAATTGCTGTCGGAAGGCTGCTTGAGATAGGAAAGCGTTTCGGCCCGAGTGTTTGTCCTGTTCCGGCGGCGATGTCGGAAGCTTTGCCTTCTCTTTGTATTTTTTACAAGAAAGAAGTAAAAATTAAACAGAGATTTGAGCCCTGTAGTATCCACTCGGTTTCATGTGAAGATTTCCAGCCTTTTCGAGCACGAGCGTCTCTTGTGGTTTGGGAGCAGAGTGAGTGGGAGGGAGAAAATAGGTAGTGCCGGGTCTAATGAAACAGTAACATCAATTATTCCCCAGTGTGAGACCACTTAAATAAACTGCAGAGGTGGTTTTACTGTGGGAACCCATTTGCCAAATGAATTTAAGTTAAGAGAAAATATGTTTCTGACATTGCCTTTGGTTCTTGTTTGCCTGGAGACAAATTTTAAAAACACTTTCTGTGATGTTTTTGTTTTGCGTGTCAGATTCTGTTTGAGCAGAGCAAACCCAAGCTTTCCTGGCGAGTAGCAGCCATTAGCCAAGTGCTGGTTTTTACTGCCAGGCTACTCGTTTGTGGCTTTCTAAAGCGGTTCATAATGTCAGTGCCATGTGCCACTCACCGTGTGATGCCTAAAGGAACACAAGTGGTTGTTGGACTGGAGAGACGTGTTTGAAATTTTCTGTACTCATCTTTTATGTAATTAGGAAATCGTGAAAAGCATCAGTTTACTCAGGGTAAAACCCTTTTGTTAACTTGTCTTCTTTTTTTTTTTTTTTTTTCCCCTCCTAAGTGGCTATTTGGAGCTCATTCTCCAGTCATAGGATTTTCTCCTTCTTCAAGCGTGGAATTTGTTCCTGTGTTTCCACCTGTGTACACAGCTACAGTTCCACCTCACGCTGGGAAAAACTGGATCGATAAAAGGCTACCGAACTGCAAAGTAAGTCTGATCTTGGTATGTTGAAGTATTTTTAAGGCTAAAGTATATGAGTTGAAAAATGTTATGGGTTTTGTGAATTGTGAAGGGGTGTGAAAGGTCAGGCAAAACCCCGCGGAGGAGGAATGTTGTAAGGGACTGTTAATGGAGGAGGCTACTGCAGCTGTACATATCTTCACTTTTCTGAAGTTTTAAAAAGAGTAAAATGTCTTTGATATCTTTAATATATCTTCCTATCCTTAATATTTATCTTTATTATGCTAAGTAGAATGTTTTAATTTTACTATGGCATGGGATTAGGAGAGTTTTCCATTCTCCCTGTCTTCTTGGCACCTCCACTGTTCATTCCTAAAAGGGATGTTGTGGTACAGCGGCGGCGTCACCGCGAGCGCTGCCACCTCCCCGGCGCCAGGGTGTGGGTCCTGTGCCCTTGTCCTGCCCACAGTTACCTACATCTGTACATTCACCTACCTGAATAATCAAATCGCGGCTTTGAGACTCCATCCCGTTGCCCTCCCTCCTGCCCCTCTCTGCAGCCCGGCGGGCGGTGCGGTCCCTGGATCGCAGGTGGACGGATGGATGGCGCTGGAGTAGCTGTGTTTGGGCACAGTTGCCTTCAGCTGTTCTTTCCTTTTTGTGGTGCTGCATCAGCTGATTAGTCGTGTTAAAAGCCGGTTAATTTTTAAACGGTCAGCTAAACGCAGCCTACAACACTGATGGAGCAGAAATCAATCTATTTTTGCAAGTTTGTCCACAAGTTGAGATACTGCCTGTATTGTAATGGAGTTAAAGATACCACATTCTCACTTTTATGTCTGCATTTTGTATCTCGAACCTTAACATTCTTTTATTCACTTGTGTTGGACAGATATACTTGAATAATGCATTTGCTCTGGATTCCGCGTGGATACATCCTGAGGAATCGCGGCTCTTCCAGGGAAATGAGAAGCCTCTGTTAATGACCAATCAAGTGGCGATGGCTGTAGCCAGGCCAGCTGCTGCCTCCAGGCCTCTTCCCACAGTGGTGTTGGCACCTCAGCTGATACCAGGTCAGTAGGGCATAAATAATTAAGTATTTACTTTTTCTTTTTTTTTTTTTTTTAATGCATCTTCCCAAAGACGCGTAAGCCATTTTCTAAAGTAAGGGTTGCGTTCCATTCAGCTGAAAATCGCCTGCGCGGTCTGAACCTTGATGGCAAAGTGAGTTTCATCCTCTAAATTACTGTTAAAGAAAGAAAAGTTCATCTGTGATTATAGAAGATTGTGACAGATTTTTCCACAACTTGTTGTGGACTTCTGGAATGCAAGGGCCAGTCGCTCCCAGCATATACATACATACATGCATACAGCCCAACATGGTTCATGTGTAATGCTCCTTTTGGCTGCTAATTTTAAGGATTTGGTGGGGTCTCTGCAGACTTCTATCAGTAGAGAAGAGCGATTGATCCATCATCTCGTTAAGACTCAGTTATGCGCAATGATATTTGTGAAATAAATTCCATTAATCTGCACAGCTCAGGTATGTCCCAGCTGTTGACAGAAAAGCTGAGCTTTTTGCTTGGAAAAGGACAGAAAATGCCTTGTGGTAAAGCTGGATCCCTCTGGTTTGGTGCTGCAGTAGGAATTTGAAATAGCAGTTGTCTCATAGAAAACGTTAAGAAGTAAAACGCTGCCGATGTTCCAAGCCCCTAATATCTGTCCTTAAATTCGGAATGGGGATATTCTTATTGGCTGGCTGTCAGGGTTTCTGCCTTCCTTAGATGGAAGAGGCCTCTTACTGTGGTCTTCGCCCTACAAAGTCCGAAATGCCAGGGAGTTCCCTTTGTATTTCGCCAGTAGCGTGGGGATACAGTGAGAGTGTACTGGAAGAGATCCGTACTGTTTGGGTTCGTTTGCCAGGCTGATTAATTAGCAGTGAATATTGTTCTGTATTGAAACATGTTGAGCCGCTCGCATCGGTTCCATATTTTGATGTTTTAGCAAGCAGGTGCAGTAAGCTGCCTTCCCCTCCTGCCAGCATCGCCCGATGCTCAACTGGAGAGCTGCTGGGCAGCGCTGGGGAGGGGGGATGGCCATGGTGGAACCTATTCCATGGGTGCACTCCCCCCCGGGACACCTGGGGACAGTCCGGCTCCGCTGCCGGCGGGAGGCACCGCTCCAGCCCTCTTCGTAAGGACTGGTGCGATGGCGGTGTTCTGTGTGGGGGAGCAACAGCCTGGCCTCTGCTTATGTACGTTTAGAACATCACAGTAGTTTCAGCAAACATACAATCATAGAATGGTTTGGGTTGGAAAGGACCTTGAAGATCATCGAGTTCCACCCCCTGCCATGGTCCAACCTCCCACCAGCCCAGGTTGCCCAAGGCCACCTCCAGCCTGGCCTTGAACACCTCCAGGGATGGGGCCTCAACAACCTCTCTGGGCAACCTGTGCCAGTGCCTCACCACCTTCACAGGGAAAAACTTCTTCCTAATGTTTAATCTAAACCTGCCCTCTTCCAGTTTGAAGCCATTCCCCCTCGTCCTGTCACTCCATGCCCCAGTAAAAAGTCCCTCCCCAGCTCTCCTGGAGCCCCTTTAGGCACTGGAAGGCGGCAATAAGGTCTCCCCGGAGCCTTCTCTTCTCCAGGCTGAACAGCCCCAACTCTCTCAGCCTCTCCTCATAGGAGAGCTGCTCCAGCCCTTGGGTCATCCTTGTGGCTCTCCTCTGGACACGCTCCAGCAGGTCCATGTCCTTCTTACGTTGGGGCCTGCAGAGCTGGATGCAGTACTCCAGGTGGGGTCTCACCAGAGTGGAGTAGAGGGGCAGGATCCCCTCCCTTGACCTGCTGGCCACGCTTCTTTTGATGCAGCCCGGGATACGGTTGGTACATACCATATACTTTGTCACATACTGTATTTCGGACATAGAGCAGTGGGTCAGGGAAGAGCCTGGCGGGACAGGGGCGTTCATTCCCAGCCTCCTGCCACCTTTGCGGTGTAAGTAGCACAATGAGAAGAAGTTTTTCTTCCCCCCGGACAATACATGCATGCTGGAGCCTGTTTGCGCAGGAGATTTTCGGCTGGACCCGAACTCTTCCTCCAGCAGCGCGCTCAGCCTTGGCTGCCCCCACTCGGGACACCCCCTGAGCCGCCCTTCGGGGGGGGGAGGGGAGTAGTGCAGGGAGGAGCACGAAGACCCCCAACCGTCTTTCTCCATCTTCCCACCCCTCTCGGAATCCCGTTTCTGAGGGACACGATGGATGCTCACCCAGCACCGCCGCCGGCCACGCGCGAGCTCCTGGGAAGAGCGCACGGCGCGGGCGCTGCTGCGGGGTGGCAGTGGGTTACGGCGGAGCTTGGAGTATTTCCTGGGTAACCTTTACGCTTAATATGAAGAGTAATAAAAATACCGAGAGCCAATTGCTTAGTTAAGTGGTTTAAAGTGAGACGTTAATAAGCTTTTTTTGCAGGCTCTGTAGCCGTTCTGTCTTAGGGCAGATTTGCCTTCCACAGTTATCGGTAATGATATAATTGTTTTCTCAATGTATCAGCAACGCTGCGGAGATAAAGGCACGAGGCACTGGAGTCTGGTGGATGGTAATGCGCAGTGTTTACCGCCTGCGAGCTGCAGCTACGAGAAGGTGTTATTTTCTGTAAGAAAAGGAAGCAGCTATTATTCTCGCGCATATTGCAAAACATGAATGTATGTACTTACCATTTTGTGTATCTAAAGCGAACGGTGACATTTTATTTTCCCACCTAGGAATGATAGCTTGTTTTATGTCTACTGGATAGTGCATTTTATTTATTTATTTTTTTGTGAGGAAAGCGGTGCCTAGATATTTTTGCAGAGAAAGGATTAATATTTTTGTCTCCTGCGTTGTGCTCTCTACCATGCTGATGAAGTCAGGGCTGGTTTGGTCCCGAGTCAGGTGTGCTCCAATGGCATCTGTTCCTTCCGCACATCCCCATGCGGTTGGTGGCTGCTGGATGTGGGGTGAGGGACCACCGGCAGGACCCTTTGGTGGCACCAGTTAGATGAAAGCTGTAGCCCTCTGGTACGTGATGTTCTGTGCTTTTACTGCTGTTGATGCTATTTTAATTGGTTGAAGTTCTTGCAGTTTTGCATTCCTGGCTCTCAAGAGCATGGCGGGCAGTGGTTCCTTGCAAAGCGGGTGTCCCTATTGGTGTGTTGGAGAAGGTTTTCCCAGACAAGCCTGGAGAACAAGGCTTGCATCCAGCCTCCTGTGAGGGAGGGAGCAGGAGATGCACATGGAAAGGTGTTGTCCCTTCAAGAAGCGAAGTTCCCTAGAAAAGTTTCACGAGCTGCTGGTGGCGAGCGCTGAGCAGAGCCTGTGGCTGGCCTGGAGAGCGAGGGGACCATCGTGGTGGAGGCCATCAGAAATGCCAGGATTTTGTTATGGTGAGATGGTGGCTCTCAGCTTATAGCCCTTGGATGGAGAGCAGTCCTAAGGAGAAGGACCTGGGGGTGCTGATTGATGAGGAGCTCTACACGATCCAGCCATGTGAGCTCACAGCCCAGAAGGCCGACCTGGGCTGCATCAGAATTGTGGCCAGCAGGGCGAGGGGGGGATTGTGCCCCTCTGCTCCGCTCGGGAGAGACCCCACCTGGAGTGCTGCATCCAGCTCTGGAGTCCCCAACATAGGAAGGACACGGAGCTGTTGGAGTGGGGCCAGAGGAGGCCCCGGAGATGCTGGGAGGGCTGGAGCCCCTCTGCTGGGAGGACAGGCTGGGAGAGTTGGGGGGTTCAGCCTGGAGAAGAGAAGGCGAAAAAGGGGAGAGCTCAGAGCCCCTTCCAGTGCCTAAAGGGGCTCCAGGAGAGCTGGGGAGGGACTCTTTCCAAGGGCATGGAGTGATGGGATGAGGGGGAATGGCTTCAAACTGGAAGAGGGGAGCCAGCTTGGAGCAACCTGGGCTGGTGGGAGGTGACCCTGTCCAGGGCAGGGGGTGGGACTGGATGGCCTTTGAGGTCCCTTCCAACCCAAACCATTCTGTGATTCTGTGAAATCCATGTTTGCCTCCTGCTTGCTGCAGGGTGATGGTGAAAGGCAAGGTTGGCGAGTCGGTGTCTCCTGTAATTGTGAGGATGGTCCCGCATCGCGCAGTCGGGCAGCTGCAGGGACGGAACGGTGTCTGGCTCTGCAGGAGAGCCCCGTGCTGTGCAGTACGGCTCTGTGATAGACCCAACGGTGTGGAGGGACTCCAGTAGAACCAGTAATAGAATGTCATTACTGGGCTCCTTATTGCAGACCTCAACACTCTGCAGCTCGTTCCAGGGTATCATGCTGTGAGCAGATGGTCTGCGTGGAGACCTGGGAATTCTGCAGGGAGACCCTCAGCCTATGGTGAGGGTTTCCATCCACACCTGAACCAAGTCCCGGCCCCAGCCGGTGCTGCAAGCGCACAAAAATGAAGGTTGCTTCTTTTAATGTTGCCAAAGGCTTATTGAATGAGTACCCTGAATACCCTCAGGAGGTTCCAGGGGTGGAAGTTGTGGGCAGTGGCTCAGCAGCAATTTGGAGACGTGTAACCTCGAAAACAGAGTGTCTATGGTGCAGGGGCTTCGGCCAGGTTGTTGGGTAGATGGAACCTGGATGTTGCCTTCTGCGCTTCTACTCAGAGCACAGTAAAATCCACCATTTGAACATCTGTTTTCAGTTTGAAATGTTTGACAGTCCTCAAATGGATTTTTTTTTTTTTTACACATTTCAGCAGAAATTGCATTTTCTTACTGATCTTGAGTGTTGTACTGGCCCTGGTACCATGGACGTCTTCAGTAATAGCTGTGAAGGTGTGTGCAAGAAGAATGCATTATGGCAAACGGACTGCATTCTCAGAGGTCTCCTTCAGGGAGCCGTGAGTGCCGGGAGGAGATGCTGAAGAGGTGAACGCCTTCTAATGGTTTTCATCTTTAGCAAAATGCTCAGAATATTATTTTTTTTTTCATTTACAACGGGAGCAACCTAACCTGGAATGTAGACTTTCAGTGTTGATTTCCTTGAAGGAAAATACTTGTCTTAAATCAGATGGGTTTTTTCTTTGACTTT